AAATAAGAAGAGTTACAAGTTCAGGAAACGTAGATATGGCAGGTGCATCCCGCAGAGTTCTTCAAGGCGGAGAGAAAACGTCTTGGAGAATTGATTACCACCACCCACCATCTTACACACACACACACACACACACACGCGCGCGCGTCTGGTTAAGGCTCATCACTTCATCACTCAATTCATCTTTATTTATGAATGATAAGAATACCCTTGGCCTCAATATCATTGTCATGTCACAATCATTACTTGGTTACGTCACTATATAGTTTAATAATGGTTCACCTACTGTTAACATCATATTCATTTTCTTCATATTTGTTTACATTGTAAGTAATTATGTAAGGTCTTCTGTAGTAATTTATGTTTACAGTTCTTATGAGATGAAATGTTATCAGCGTTAATCCTCAAATTAGTATTATGACTATTTTATTTTATTTATTATGTCAATTACTAGATCTATCGTCATTATCATTATTTTCTTGTCAATCTGTTAATTCACTCCGCATTCTTATCCATCTGTGTTTTTGTCGTTATTTCCCTTTTTCTTTTATCATCTGTTTCTCCATATCCCCCCCCCTCTCTTTCCATCCATCTGCCATCCCCTTCTCTCACTCTCTCCATCCCCTCTTTCACTCTCTCCATTCCTAATCCCCTCTTTCTATCTCCATCCCCCTCCCTATATCTCTCTCTTTCTCCTCCCTCCTCCTCAACCCTCTCTTTCTCTCTCCATTTCCTCACCCCCTCTCTCACTCTCTCCATTTGTCCACCCCTCCTATCTCTCTCCATCTCTCTTTATTTTCCCTCCCCTTCTCTATCTTCCCTCCCTTCTCTCTCTTCATCCTTCGCCCCCCACTCTGTCTCTCTCCAATTTCCCCACTCCCCCTCTCATTCTATTTCCTCTCTCCCCTTTCTCTCCATCCCCTTACCCTCCCCGTCTCTCTTCATCCACCAACCCTCTCTCACTCTAACTCCCCTCTCCTCCCTCTCTCTCTTTCATTTATCCTAAGTAATCCCTCTTACAGCCGTGGAAGGAAAAACTCATAAAACGCCTCCCACCTTCCTCACTTCCCCAGCGTAAATAAAAGCCCCCACCTCACCTCTGAACTTTCTCCTCTCACAGAAGGAAGCAAAAGAAAATATGAAGGAGTGAAACGTATTATTAAAGTTTTTTCTTCGTCTTATTTTACTATGCTTTGTTCTTTTCGTTTTTTTTTGTCTTACGAGATGAGAGTTAGTTGACGTGAGGTGTATATGTATATTTTTTTAGTTTCGTATGTTTCTTTTTGTGTTGTTGTTGTTGTTGTTGTTGTAGGTAGTGTTGCTTATTGTTGATTTGTTTTTGTAGTGTTTTTGTTTTAAGCCTTTATATTTTTGTTATTGATTATTATTAAGGTTATTATTGTAAAATTATTGTGATATGTTGTAATATTGTCTATTATTTATATTTTATTGTCATTGTTTTCGTTATCCCTGTTGTTGTTAATGCATTCAATGACGTTGCTAATATTATTGTTCCTACCACAAAAAAAAAAGATCATTACAGATTTTTTTTTCCGCATTGTTGATTTGTTTTTCCTACAAGACATCACTACCATTCATTATAACACTGCTCTTTCTTGTTCAGTATAAATAACCAATAATGTTCCTCCTTTTTTTTTTGGGTGTTATTTTATGTTTTTATAAGTTAGTTCTACCTTATTTTATTTATCTCTTTTCTCGAGCCTGGGGGTGGTGGGAGGAGTATACTTTTCATAAGTCAATTTTCTAAGTCTTCTTAATAATTATAGTACATGAAACAATATTCTCACATCATATACTTTGTCAACTCGTTTTACATAACTTATCTTTTCAAACGTGGAATATTCTTAACAAGGTCACTTTATCTGGGTATGTTTGCACGTTATAGTCAACAACATCGTATCTGAACACCTTTCAACCTGTAGGAATCCGGATAATGGATTGATTCACAAGTAAAGTGCAGCTGTATACAAATGGATATATCTTTTACTATAATTTTATCCGAAGATGATTTAAGAATATGTGATTATATCAACAGATGTAACAGTGCCTCCTCTAGTATTATGTTATTTATACTAGTGGGGTGAAGAAAGGGCAGGTGCAGGGTGTACGGACGAAAAACTCACCTGGATATAAATTTCACCGGACAGGTAGCGTGTCACAATATTTAGGTTAGGTTAGGTTAGATTGGGCTATGCTAGGTTTGGTTAGGTTAGGCTATGCTAGGTCAGGTTAAGTTAGGTTAGCTTTGTCCATTAAGTAAGATTTTGTTTAACCCCAGGCGTAGATGATGAAGGGAAAGAGATACTATCGTGTTTGTCATTATCAGGAACTTCTAGGCGTTTTGTTACTTCCATTGATACTGATATAAGATCCGTTCTTGATATATATTTCCTAATGAACAAGAAGAAAATGGTGATGGTGGTGACTTCTCAAATGTGGTAACCTATTTGAGGAAGATCTCGGATACCTTAAGACGCAGGTATAGTGAAGAATTTAATCAGATCATCCTTTTGTCGCATATGATATTAATCGAGACGTTGTGTAATATCAACTTTTTGTGTCATACTGAGCGACTTCCGCTTTCTCTTCGTCTCCGCTCCAGTTGAGGAACTAATTGAAGCTATGCTAGTGTTTTTTACTTTTTATCCATCTTTGTAAAGTGAATAATCCAATTTTTAGCTATATAATTCACAGGCAATGTTGGGAGAAGCTTTTACACCGGTTTCATTGGCGCCAACTAATTAAAAACAAAACAAAACAAAGCAAAAACACCATCTGTCGGTCGGATTGTGAACTTGTGCGTTTGGAAAGTGAATGTACTTGTCCGAACAGGATTTTTCGTGAATAAAAAAAAAAGAATAACTGGATTTTACGAGCAACAGTTGACAACCAACATGTTCAGAAACACTTATTTTTGTCTAGGGGTTGAAAATTAATGGGTTAAACTAATTTAGTCGTTCCAGACAAACGTTGTGTTTACTGGACGTTAAAAACATCTTTATCGTTTCAATATTTATGAATGCAATCCCGAATAGAATATATAACATCATAGAGATAAAAACAGACATAAATACGTACACATGTATATTTATTGGTACACATCCACTCCGCATCAACACTTTTGAAACAATAAGATCATCAACCTAACCTAAATTAACCTAACCTAAATTAACCTAACCTAAACTAACCTAACATACCCTATCCACACATATACTAACTCCCCCAGGAAGCGTTAGGGTGGTTAATCCTCAGGTGAAATAAGCTGGTATGTCTAATCTCCATGTGATCTGTTTTTTAACCCGGCGTTCATTGATCCACGTAAAATACAAAGTGAGAACGGAAGAGAGATGAGAGAAGGGAAAAAGAGAGAGAGGGAGGGAGAGATAGATAACGCCAATCACAATTCTCTTTATGTTTTTAAGGATGGGATGAGACTTCAGAAATTAAATTGTGATGTAATGAAGTTATCTTATTATTGATGACAGATCTTAACCGCCTCAAACATTATATTCACTTTTGGTGTATCATCATCATGGAAATTTATATTACGACGATGATTTGTTGATATTATAAAACAAAGCAAAAATTACAATAAACGGGAAAAGGAAAGAAGGAAGAAGATGAATAGATGTTAATTATGTTATCGTGCTTCTATAGTTTATTTCTCTATAGTTTTTAGCCTTTTATTATACTGTATATCACTTTAGTTCTGTTCGTTTGCTGACCTTCGTAATATATATCATGTTTTTTTTTATGTTCTTATACATAGAGTGTGTGAGACTATCCATGGTGAATTTATTTACTGCTTGTTAGTGTTTATAAATCCCTACTGTCTAGAGCGCTTGATACATACACTACTAAACTAACTTGATCTTGTGTGGTGAGTTTGATTATTAAATATATATCTATCTACTCGAGTTATTATAAAAGAGCTGTGTTATGCCTCAGGGTAGAATTTTTGTTCCTGGATCCTTCTTTAATTATTGGGTCAGACATTAACGACTCTACCAAAATCTCAGGTACAAGAGCAGATTCTAAAACAGTGCTCTCTCACTTATCCTAACCTAACCAAATTTACCCTAACCTAGCCTAACTTAAACCTAACCTAACCTTACCTAACCTAACCTAACCTATCTTAACCAACAGTTTGAAAAGTTCACCCTCACCCTATAGTTAGTATTATTAAGAATATTTTGTATCAATAACTCATACAAAAATAGAAGAAATGAATCTTCTATATAATGGTATGTGTGTGAATATACCTTAGTTCTGTTGTTTAATGTATTCATATATACAAGAGATCCTCTATATGGGTACATGGATGAAGCCTTAGTACTCATATATGTTTACATCAATGACTATATACATACGAGTTACAATGTCTGTTTTGTCTCCTCCTCCTCTCTCATACTTTGGGGTGGAGGAAATCAAGGAATGCAAAAACAACAAAAGAAAGGGAAGACATAGTAAGAGAGACTGATGCTAAGGAAGAATCGGAACAAAACAGGACTGGATTAAGATATTAAGAACACTTCACACACCTGTTTCCTCATATCCCAAAATTGTAAACAAAATATACAGAGGATATGTTTTACTTCAATTTCAGTTCCTCTGTTTGTCTGACACGCGAGTTGGTAGTAAGTAATTATTAACACCTTAACATAATCTGCTATATAACTTCTAGCCTTGTTTTAATACATAATTGTTTGTATAACTTCATGATATAATTTCCTTCGTTTTAAATCACCACTTTACTGTAAGCTAAAAGAAGGATTTTTCTTCTATAAAACACACTACAGATTAATGAGCTAAGGAGACATTTTCTCATCTTGGAAAATACGCAACAAATAACATCTTGCATGACACAATCAGGAGTAATATATGAATTATCATGTAGGAGAATGTGGTAAAGTATATAGCAGACACAAGTAAATAGCCCTGTTGTCTCTCTCTTCAGTTGGTTAACACACACTAAGAAATTGAGGAGGTGGAAGGGATAGTTTATTAAAGAAATATTACAACTGACCTTTTTTTATACAATGCAAAACCTTAAACCTAAAATCGGTAACTATAACACATTCACAATTACACAAGATTCTAAATATAAGGAAGTCCACTATATTATATACTCTATGTATATACCCATTGTAGTTTATGATATACTATATATATTTAAATAACCCGTATCTTCAAATTATCTGCAAAAATATAACATCTATGAAAATGTATTAAATAATTATTAAGTAAAATTGCTCTTTATCTTGAGTCCGTAAATAATATCAAGTCTACAGTATTGTATAAGAATAAGCTATATTTATCTACACGACGATGTATTAGGTTATAATATGCAAATAAATCATTGTAGGTGAGCGTGATCCATTTATGTGCTGATAACCACAAGGAAAGAAGAAAACACGAAGTTCCCAAGCGCTTTCGTGTAATTCACATCTTCAGGGGTGAGTTTGTACTCACCCCTGAAGATGTAAAATTACACTGAAGTACTTGGGAACTTCGTGTTTTGTTTTCCCTATGTGGTTATTAGCATATAGTTATATTATGTATTATGGTCACTAATTACTAAAGTAGATGACGAGATAAAGTAACTATTGTCTTCCTCGCCTCGATAGCTGTTTATCCCCCTCACCTCATCTCCCCTCCACCATTAATTACCTCCCTCAGTAATTAACATAGCGTCCATTCGGTTGATGTTCGATAACTTGACACAATAATATATCGATATATAGTTACATTATATTTGAAGTATAATATAGTAGGTATCGAATATCAAAACAAGGAAACGATTTTTACCATGCCCAAAAAATAAGCCAAAATTTTTTCCATATCAATTTAGAAAGTAAAGCTATGAAAAGCAAACAAAGGTAATGTAAAGTAGAGAAAGGTTAAGGAAAGTAAGTGAAGTAGTGTAAAGTAAAGAAAGGTTAAGGAAAGTAAGTAAACTGTAAGCTAAAGTAAAATAAGTAATGGGCAGAGTACAAAAAGTAAAGTAAAGAAAGGTTAAGTGAAGTACTGTAGTGTAAAGTAATGTAAAGGACAAATAAAAGTAAAGTAAAGGCACAACTAACACCTCCAGTGACTCACCAACCTTACCAGCTGGTGCATGAGATGTAAAAATGGTGACGACGATATTTACAATAATTTATATCAATATTACCCAAATGTCACTACTGATATTGTTATTATTACACAAGAGACACTATTTATATTATGGCGTTTTGAGATTCTATAATTATCCTGATAATTTGCCTCATTTATCATAATTATGCTGTATATTTTAAGATGTCTGTGTCAAATAAAATTAATAAATTTATACAAGTGTTATTACAGTATTCTTGTTGTTATTATAACTGTTTTAGTTACATTTATTCATATTTGTATTCATTTTATTACTATTATTATTATTATTATTATTATTATTATTATTATTATTATTATTATTATTATACATAACATCTCACGCCGTACACCTAGCAACTCAGTAGGTATGTAAACTACAGTGAGTGTGAGACATGGAGGAGGATTTCAAATCGTGAAGGAGTAGCAGAAGTAAATATATATATCGGAGGAAAAGTAGAGTAAGACTGGCGAGTGGATGAGTGGATCAGTCTCGAGGAAATGAAAAAAAAAACAGAATGACTTGATTCTTTAGTAAAATTATATTATAAATCATGTCATCCTTTTTATAACTAATTTTTACAATATTGAGGGATATAATTTTAGCATGTTTGTTATGTGTAGGTGCCACGTGTGCCTATGGAGGGTTCGAGTACTTTTTTGTGATAAGACATTGTAGAAATAGCCCACTAGACCAGAGATACCTTTTGGGACAGTGCGTAAGAAAAACGTCGAATATGATAGCTGACATGAGGACCTGGATAATAGATTTAACTTATTCATATTGAAATCATCGATGTCAAAAATTTACCTTTATCCATTTTGCTGTGTAATCTGTCATGGCGTTATCTTATTTTGTTACACTAATATCTGTTACACCTGCATATATCTCTTACACCAAATATCTGTCAAAGAGCCGCCTATATTTTAAACCCTTCCCGTAGTTATGTTTCCTTTATATTATTTACACTTGTCTGGACTGTCCTATATTGTTTACAGTTAAGTTTAGAATATCTACCCTATAACAAATCAGAGTTGCATAGAACAAACACATTAACATCAGAGTTTTCCTATACTGATTACACCAACACCAGGCAAAGGATTACATAGGTATATATTACATTATAAACCAATTGGCTTTTTTTTTACTAGTTATACCAAGTTCAGGCAAAGAGTTACATAGAAATACAGTATTAGTTACATCAAGTTCAGGGTGAGAGTTACATAGTTACATTACACTCTCATCCACGAAGGAGTTTGGTGGTACTCGTTACAGTAAGATGGTCAGTGCCTCACCTAGACTCACCACACACTCAGGTTTGTTAGACAGTAGCCATGTATGCCCCACACAAACCTCTCTAGAACCGAATTTGTTAACAATTATCTCACAAATTCGGATCTACAGGGTAGATGTAGAGCATTAACTTAGGTGTTAGTGGGTGTGTTAGAGGGGAGGGGGCTGTTAGAAGCAGTGTTAGGCGTGGTGGTGAACGTAGGTTTATGGTCTCCGTATTCTAAATTAACACTTAAGCGATGAACTTAATGTGTGTATCTCCTCTTCCTGACTCTCCTCGCTTGTTATTTTTCTTCAGACAATGAATTACTGTATTATATATTGTGTTTTTTAATGCTTAAATAACTTAATGATTTTTACCTATATAAATTATTTCTTTATGGTAATTAAGTTTTGTGTAAGTTTATTTATCACACAATAGAGAAAACTGATAAGAAACTCAATAATTCACTTAAACATTTCGTTGTCTATTTATATTTATCAGGACATATTATGACTTAAGGAATATTGTGTGCCAACCGCAATTTTATTATTTTTTTCGATTGAATTAATACTTTTTCGGTAATACATTGGTTAACCATCTATACAATTTTCGAAGATTGATGGAGACAACACTGAATTAATCTAACCGACCAATTAAAACACACATTATAATCATCTAATCATTATCATTGGGGAAGTTCATGGGCCTTGGTATAGAATACGGAGTTTCACAACACTACTGAGCACCAAGGAGCTTGCGGGAGGGAGGTGGAGGTACTAGGGAAGGATTCAGGGTAAGGACGGAGTCTCCTGAATAGCTTCGGCGTATCCTTTGGGAGACTCTTAGAGGCTCTTGAAGGCTTTAGGAGACTTATTCTAAAGGAGTCTGATGTCTTCTAGAGGCTCCGGATGTTGTTTTCTCTGGGTATTGTCCTTCGGATTATTTTAGAGCTCGCTCTTGAAAGAGTGTTCCCTGGAGGATTTTTCTTGTTCTTCAGGAGACAAACTTGCTAGGTGTTGTTTAGTTTTCAGGTGGTTCCTCTTCATTGCACCTGTAAGACATGAACCTTATTAATACATTGACACAGCGTTAAATAATAATAATAATAATAATAATAATAATAATAATAATAATAATAATAGTAATAGTAATAGTAATAATAACAGTAATAGTAAAAATAATAAACAGTGGAGTGTCAGGCGATGAACTGTGACAATGAAATATCAATCTCGAGCCTAAAGTAACAAACGTATGTAAGACAGGAAGAAGAATGAAAGTGGTAAATATGATGGAAATCGTCCGTGAAGGTGAGAATGGCAATCGTTAAACACTTATTGATTATGACATGGTGACTCGTAATACATGTGTATGGTAGATGACGTAACACTGTAATAATAGCAAGTGGAATAGCTGTTGTTTGGTTAGAGGCGATAATAGTAAGGCATTAAATATGATGATATGAAAGTCTTTGATTATATGGGTACATGTTATGATAGCGTCTTGATTATAGCTCTTCAAGACTTGGGAATCAATTGCATTCAAGAGCCCCCCAAAAAAGAATGAAGATTATAGTTGATGTGTATCATTATGCTGAGGAATGTACTCGTTAGACAGTGATACTAACCACAGGATTATAAACTGGGTGACCCGAATTATAGAGTTATTGGCTAGAATTATTATAGTGAGGTTAAATGACCAAGGCTAAGTAACATATCAGAGCGTCCTTAGTCATGAGGTTTTACGACTGTGGATATAATGAATTAAAATGAATAATAAAAAAATAAGGGGATGTTGCTATATTCTAATCCAGAGTTGTATATCCCATGAAAAAAAATCATACTCTGAAATCTAAAAGAGAATTATGCTTTAGTAAGTTGATTTAACCCCGAAACTGAACACTTAATGAACGTGTGTAGTTACAGTAGAAAGTAAACTTAACAAATATATCCGCGTGTGTGAAAGTACCGAAGAATTTATGCATGTAAATGTATATGTATATTCGTGTATTTATAAATATGTATAAACATACTACTAGAGTAAATAACAGTACTATAACGTGTTAAAAAGGGAGATTGAGTCAGGAATATACAGAGAGAGACAGACAGACAGACAAACAAACAGAGGCACAAGAAGTCGTACCCTGAAAAGTACCTCACCAGTACCCAGTCTCTCTCACCCACCATAAATCATATAACACTTAGCGCTACAATGTTTCTCTTGCTGACGTTGCTTACTTGCTAACATGAGCACAAATATTTGCTAACTTGCTCAAATTAGCCTGATGTCAGCGAAGATTTGCTCAAATACGCCCCGGGCTAAATCCTCTATATTGGACGATTTATGATGTAGGTGTCAGCCGATGACACAAATCCCCTCATTTTTCTATGGTAACGTGAGGTAATAATCTAAATTTATTGTAAATTAAATAAGAACCCTCAGGCGTGTCCCATGAAGCTTGGAGTGTGTTAAGGTGTGACATCATGGGCTCAAAGTCGGTTCAGTACTGTTGCTGTAATCTTATGTACTATATACTGTATATGTTAAGATTATTTTTACAGTGTGTGTTTGGGTAATATATTTCTCAGTCCACTTGAATTTTTGTAAATATTAAAGCTTAAGGTTTAAAGTCGTCATGGCAGTGATTTTTTTTAGGCAGGAAAAAAAAACAAACACACACAAAATAAACACACATACACAGGTTTCGAAAACAGTATCATCCCAACTTTGAGTCTCTGATATGACCCTGAGACTTGTGATAAACCAAGAGTTGAGGGCCTGCTGTCCTGATATTAAAATCAAGTTTGAAAAAAAAAGTGAACAAATATTCAGGTTATTTACAGGCACAGGTGGATGCAATATATTCTCATAAATATAATATATCTTATCGAGACGTCTCTCCTGTGTCTCTGTGCGTCCTATTATTTAAGAAAAACCTGATACACACGAACACAATCAAGAATATCTATACGTTTACGTTTCTCTTACAAGTAACATGAAATGCATATAAATTAAATCATTTATCATCACAATGGAGATAGATTTGACGATGAACAAGTTGTGATTATTGTTTTTGAGAGTATCAACCATAAAACACCCTTATTACAGAACCACCAACACACACACACACACACCTCACACACACACACACACACACACACACCCTCTTAAACTACATGAGATACAAGCTACACGTGACTTTAGTATCTACGTGAAGGAGAGCACCCGCCCATCTTAATACAAAAACAACACACAAAGGTCAGACACAAGAGGCCCGGGCTGCTGGTAACAATTTTGGCTTCAATTGGTGTAAATGTGGCGAGGCAGACGTTAGAGGCAGCTGGTGGTGAATCAGCACTAGCGAACCCTTACATACGTTCGCCAGGGTGGGGGAGGAGGGGGGAGAAGGGGTTGTAGAAGGAGAGGGGGTAAGGGAAAGGAAGTGAGGGAGGGAGAGTGAGGGAGAAAGAGTGGGTGAGGTAGGGAAGGAAAATAGAGGGAAATGGTTGGGGAAAAAGGGAGCATGAAAATGGAGAGGGGAGTGGGAAGGGGGATGGATAGGTGGGAGAATAAAGAGGGGGAAATCAGGGAACGGGAATTAGGAATTGGAAAATGGTAGGGGAGGTAAGGGCGTGATGGAATTGGGGATAAAGTAGAGAGAGAGAGTATCAATGAGGGAAGGAAGACGAAATAACATGATAGATTTAAGGATGGCAAAAGGAATAGACAATTAAAAGAATAGAGAATGGAGGAGAAACTAATGTCTAATGTAATAGAGCATAGATGGAATGGATACATGGAGAAGTGAAAAATAGATGAAAGATAACGACAGATGGAACAGGGAAAAATATAGTTGATGTAAGGGGGAAATATATTCAACTCAGGGGTAAGGAAAGGATACCCGAAAATTTACTTAACATGGAACAGAAGGATAATTAGTCTTAAACAAAAGAAATGGGAAAGGTAGATTATTAGAGTGAGAAAAAGAGAATAAAGATAAAGAAACAGGAGGATCAATAAGGTGAAAGCCATAAAAAAATATTGATAAGATAGAGATAATGAAAACATGAACGAGAGAGAAAGAAAACGAAGGGTGGGAAAGATGTACAAGGGATAACTCGCAAGAAAACGTGATATGGGTAGAAAGGAAAATACAAGTAGAAGTAAAATAATAACTAATAAACAGGAACAGTAAAATAAAATACATAACGAGAAAGACATAAAATAAGGATAATAATAAATAATACTGTCAAGTGTACGACCATAAAATATTAATGCAAATAATTTATTCATAGTTGATATTTTCTATTTAATATGAAATTCATCAACTTACATTATAATAGAGGTAATTAATAGCGAAATCATGTAATCAATATATAGAACTTAAGTAACAATATAACGTAAAAGTAACACATTTATATCGTAAGTGTTAAATGTTACACACAATACCTTAATATATAAAAGGCTTCATATAGTACACAACTCTTGACACGAAATCAGATTTTTTACCGATTTTGTCGTATTAAAAATCTCGTAAAGACAAACACACAAACGGGAGATGCGGCAGATTACACTCAAGCGATAATTTTCAGCCGTTGGTCAGTTGATGGTCCACGTGTGTGTGTGTGTGTGTGTGTGTGTGTGTGTGTGTGTGTAACATGGACAACGTGTTATTATACAATCAGATATGACATTCTCTCTTTGTCTCTGTCTCCCTGTCTTTGTCTCTTTGTCCTTTTATCGCTATGTATGTCTGTATTTGTCTGTATGTGTATGCCCGTCTGTTTTTCAGTGGGTACAGTCGTGTGTGTGTTTTATGTTTTGAGTATATATGCATGTGTGAGCGTGTATGGTATACGCCCTTCGATCATGCACCTCTCCAATACTCTGACACACACACACACACACACTCTCCCCCTCTCCCCCTTCTCTCCCCCTCTCATCTTCCTAGGGGTGACTTTACTCCCCTGCCATTTCACACACCCTCCCTCTTTCACCATCATCCCACACCCCTTACCCCTCTTCCTTCCCCTTTCATCCCTAGACCAATATCTATAAACCCTTTTCTAGCCACGTCCAAACCTACTCAATCTTGTGTTATTCATCCCTTTTCACCCTACTCCACCTTTTACTCTTCACCTCCGTCTAAACATCTTCATTTAGTGTCGCAGTTCAGTTTGTTCATCGTATATACACGTCACCATCTATATTCAGTCGTTTGGGTTCCATTTATATCCTGGTGTGACGTTTATCTCTCTCTCTCTCTCTCTCTCTCTCTCTCTCTCTCTCTCTCTCTCTCTCCCCTCCCTCCCTCTCTCTTTCCTCCTGTCTGTATTTATCTCCCTCCCTCTCTCCTGACTCTCTCTCTCTCTCTCTCTTTATTCCTCGCTCCCATGGGTCTTTGCTAATTTGAAAAGCTTATGCTCTTTCTTTACCATAATATCAGGTTTTTTTGGTCTTATCTGTTTCCAATCTTTTCTAATTAAATTTCTCTCATTCGTTTCTCCCGTTCTGTCCATATGTCATCGACTCCATTTACTTTCACCAGCCAATCCGTTCTTGTTTTATGTTCATGTATCGGACTAGTTCTCCTTCATTTGCATATTATTATTAAGAGAGAGAGAAACACACACATACAGACACACACACACACACACACACAATTATCTCGTTTATATACCTATACATTACAGTAACACAGTAGCAAACGTATTTAATGTAATGGACAACAGAATCACTGACTCGCTTTCCCCTGATCCACAAACCTAAAGGGGACAGGAAGCACCATGAACCAAACTCAGGTATTATCCAGGTAAATAAATCAATAGAATTAATAATCAAATTCCATCAGGTAACATCAGGTAAATGGAGCAATCATACACCATTAAAATAACTTCCCACCCCATCAAAAAAAAATATATTCCTCAGGTGAATAAAACAATCAAAAGCAATCAGAAAATTCCAACAGGTAATTATCAAGTAAGTTAAACAATCACAAACGATAAAACCCTGTAGAGTCACTTAATGATCTATGTCTTCAAATTGTTAACTATG